TTGTAACGCCCGCTTTTCAGGTTTGGTTTATGTGATAATTTTATTGATTTCAAGGTGTACTCGACGAGTTGGCTGCCCTACTCGTCGAGTAGCAGCGGATTGGTCCGTGTGTTTTAGTGATCTACTCGCCGAGTCCAAGAAGAGACTTGACGAGGAGGAGCTGGCAGATTAAACCCTAAATCCAGGGGTTTTGCACCCTATTTAAAGGATCATTGGCCATCCCCAGCCTCCCCTTTACAACTTCTTGGCACCCTTAAACCCTAAATCGTGTGTGTGTGTGTGTTTTATTTGGTGTGATAGAGATTTAAAGAGAGATCTTGATGAGGAACACTTGGGGGAACAAGTAATTGAAGCTAGGAACTCGTGGGAAGCAAGGATATACATCAGTTGACACTCTATGGGAGGTATTAAGCTGTCTCTTTGGCTCATCTTATCTTTAATCTCTTTTTGGGTGGGTTTGAGGAAAGGATTTTGTGTTTGAGCCAAGATCTAAAGATGAAACTTCAGATCTGGACTCCCTTTGGTTCCTAGATCTATAAAGGTAATAGTTTTGGCAAGTATGAGCTTTCCCTTAAGTGTTGGACTTCATGTCAAGCTTAGTTTTGTCATTTTAGGGCCTTAAAGCTTTGCATGCATGTAAAGTTTGCAACTTTATGTGATAAGCAGGCCTTGGAAGGTTTGATCTACAATCTGGAGCCTTTGCATGGCTTAAAAAGTGTCTGTATGGATGAAGGATTGAAGTGACTCGGCGAGTCGCATAGCCGACTCGGCGAGTCATATGAAGATGGTCCTGAACTCGAAGAGTTGGATGAACAACTCGGCTAGTCCTATGAAGATTGTTGTAGACTCGACGAGTCACTAGAGTGACTCAGCGAGTCGGTTAGGGTTTTTCCCAACCGTTGGATGCGTGTGAACTTGTCAAGTTGCAAGGGGGAAAACTTGATGAGTGGTCAAGGAGCTTCGATCGCGAGCCTTAGGAACTTGACGAGTCACTCTGGTGATTCGGCGAACGGATGAGTTATGCAAGGAACTCGGCGAGTGGCTGGATACACTTGACGAGTTCATGTCAACATGGACTGTTGACCCGAGCAGTTGACTTTGACTTTGACCAAGGGTTAACCAGTTGACTTCTCGGGGGGGGGGGGGGGTATCTGGGAATTTATGAACCCTATGATGTGTTGGATATAGGTGGTGGAGTTCATGGCAGTGATTCGAGAGTTGAGCTTTCTATTTCCAGTCAGCAGTTGCTAGGTGAGTTATCCTTACTATACTCAAGGGTCTAAGGCACCAAGGCCTGCCCTTTGGATTGTTACTTGGTTATGTTATGCCAGTATGATTTGTTAGATCGGTATCCTAGAGGGTAGGATAATATTATGTGGTATGTGGTAAGATCTGTTAGATCGGTATCCTAGAGGGTAGGATGATATTATGTAGTATGTGGTATGATCTGTAGATCGATATCCTGGTAGATAGGATGGTATTATGTGTTATGTGGTATGATCCGTTAGATCAGTTGTTGTATATAGAATGCTATGTGATTATTTGTTATATATATGTGTACATATTTGTTTGGCGGTTGAGGCTTATTTGCTTCGTGCGAAAGCCAATAAATCTGGGCATTCCAACCTGTTGGTTGTGGGCCGTGAGTATTCCATCCCGAGGATGATTGGACACATAGTATGTGGGAATTCCAACCTATTGGTTGTGGGCTTGGGGTATTCCATCCCGAGGATGATTGGGCCCATAGTATGTTGGCATTCCAACCTGTTGGTTGTGGGCCTAGGGTATTCCAACCCGATGGTTGACTGGACCCATAATATGTTGTTTGTGATTTTATGTGTATTGCTGTGAGTGTGGGTATTTTGGGGGAGCTCACTAAGATTTTGGGCTTACAGTTTCAATTTACTATTTCAGGTACATCAGGGATTGCGATAAGGCAAAGGCGTGATCGTACATCTCCTCATCTTTTGTTATGGTATCTGGGAAAACTCTGATATAGACTATTTTGGAAACAAAGTTGTAATAACTATTGATTTAAGGTGTTTTTGAAAAGTTTAAATTTGGTTTGAATTTTATGGGTGTTACACATATCATGCATACATAACATCAAAAAACATAATTGGGACTATTTCACCCTTTTTGGGCTCTTTCAACTAGTACTCGGTCTATTTCACCCCCATTCGGTCTCTTTCAACCTGTATTGGGTCTATTTCACTCCCCTTCGGTCTCTTTCAACCAATATCAGGTTTATTTCACCCCTACAACTAACATACAATCATACCAACAAGAGTTACAAAGACAATAAGCACATACAAGGCATAACAGTAATTGTCATGAAGATAACTATCATCCTACAAACATAATCCAGTGGGTTGACATTGGTGCCTTAGACCGATGAGTACAGTGAAGGAACTTACCTTAGTTTGAACATAAAGAAATCACACTTGACTGTTGAATAGTAAAATCTCACACTAAATCACAAATAATAGAACCCTAATTAGCAATTAGGTCATTAACCCAAACTGAGAGTCTAAATCCTTAATCTCAACTCTTAAAGGTAAAAGACTGTGTTACCCTTCATTTTTAGAGTTTGTTCAAGAAGGATTTTATTGATTATTTACAAAAATAATCAAAAGGTATGTAAACCCCAATCCCTTTGTGAATTTCGATAATAGTAGGTTTTTCCTAGGGTTATTTGATGTTCGTAGATTATAGCTATCAATAGAGAAAACTTAGATCCAAATAGGTTGCATGTGAACTTAAGGGTTAAGTTTTTTTTCACCACATCATTTTAAATATAACATATACAACCCATCAGTGGGATCAGAGCCATATGTTTTTTATTTGGCCGTGTATAATATTGAATAGATCAAAATTAGGGTTTATGGAAATTAAACCCTAATGTCCATGATTTTCGACTTGGCTAGGATTTCTTGAGACCCTAGCCTCCCTAACTCTATTTAGAAAAATGGGGGAGCCTTTTTAGGGTTTTATCTTGTTTTCTTAATTATCATTTTAAAAGCTTTAAAATTTGAATTATTAAACCTGATAAACTCCACCCATTTTTTCGATAATTAGGGGGTTTGGATTAGGATTAAATTTGAATTATTTTATTAGTTGTTTGATTTAAATAATTATTTAATCCCTAGATGATTTAATTAATTTAATTATTTGTTCAATTAACAGATCAAGATAAATCATAATTGGTTTAATATTAATTAATTAAAAGATTTAATTTGAATAATTAATATTTAAACTTCGTATTTCGAAAAGCTTTAAAATACACCTTATATATACTATTAAAAGATTAATGTATTATGTATATAAGACACGTTAGTCAAATCGCTAGTAAGCCTCATTCACGAAGTCTTACTATAAGGGAGGTATAAGGATGCAACTTATAAAATAACCATCATTAAGTGTCCACTCTCACCTACTACTCCCTTGTATGGTGAATGTGCGACTAAAATGAGATGATGAAATGATGAAGTTATCTAACTAGATACTAATATAAATTCTAAAAGAGTTAGATAAAATGATAAAAATATTAAAAATAGAGACCTAATGTGGACAAAATTAGAACCTTATTATACATCATAAACGGTTGTAACAACCATGTTGGTGTAATATGTAAAAAAAGATGTTAGGGACCTAATGTGAACAAAATTAAAACCTTATTATATTTTTTAAACGGTTATAACAACAATATTGGTATAATATGTAGGAAAAAAAACCATTAAGGACCTAATGTGGACAAAGTTAAAAAAACCTTATTACTCTTCTAGGTCATTAACCCAACCCTTTATATTGTAGTTGGTGTCGGTATGAAATTACTTCTTTACCCTTTTTAATTTCATTTATATTTTTCTTTAATTAATACTATTTAAAAATAAAAAAAAAATATCACCCCACCAAACCCTCTTCACTAGCACCTTCTTCCTTCACTTCACTGTACCTATCGACACTTGATGCAACCACCCCGTACTTTGAACTTGAACATAAGTTCCAAGAGATAGGATTGGAGGGAGGTTCTTTGTTTCTTCTTTGTAACTTCGTTACCCAATTATTGGTTTTTGTAATGGTAATTGTAGTTTGATGAAACATGTTGAACAAGAAACAGGGGAAGAGAAGTTGTCTTCTGAAGTTGTATACAAACACAAAATGGCAGCCAAGATTGTTAACGGTAACTACCTTTCATCCCTTAATTTTCATATATGTTATTTTGATTATGACATTTATCTTGTTTTTCTGTTGCCCAAGTGTGATATTTCGTATTTATGCATTTTTTTTTTAAATATTGAGAATCGCTAAATATTCAAGAATGCATACGACGTATATATCTTCACTCCAATCATGTTATCTTTTTGTTGCTTATAAGGATCAGCGAAGGATCAATTTGCAATGCGATTAGTGAAATGTATTGTTATAGGGTTAAACAATCAAAATGGGTACTTAGGGTTGAAACAATCAAATTGGGAAAAAGAGGTCAAAGTTTATTATGGAGATATTTTGGGCTCTAATCACTAGTTATGTGATTTCTTTCTGATGACTGATTATCAATTTTTTCATAATCTTGAAATTCACATCCAACTACCTTACATAATCTTGTTGGGTGAGAAATTTAATTAATGGAATAAGCCAAGTATATAATAGTTTTTGTGTATTTTGAAAGGGAATTTGTATGATTGTATTCATTATTTCATTTGCTATACTTGTTGAGAGGTTTCAAAGCAATAAAATGAGTTATTTACTTTTTCTTTTTATAACTCTATTTTGATATTTTTTGGTATTTCATTAATTTATTTATTATAGTAAATAGTTACTTCTAAAATGATAAATAAAACTTTTTCATAATATATTTTCGATGGGCATGAAATATGCTTCTATGTAACTTATTTAGTGTTATCATCATGAATTGATTATTTTTTTATTAGATGCAAGTTTATATACTTTTTTTTTACTTAAAAGTTAATGACTTTGATATGGGTTATATGTATTAGAAATGCAAGAAAATGATTGGTTTTGGGGTGTCATATTGATGGTTTCATTGTTGTTGTGGTCCATAAACATGTCATTCGGGCTTCAACAAGGAGCAGCTGATGCTATTGTTGCTGCAAAAACCACTGCTGAAGTTGCCTTAGGGCTTGTAAGACTTGGAAAAAAGGTAATTTATCTGACATTTCATTAACATCGTTATTTGTGTTTCTGTCTTTTGAGGGGTGCAATTTACTTTGATCTTTTCATCTTTTTTGATACTAGTACATTTTTTTATAAGGAATGATTTCTCCAATGATGCAAGTGCTTAATGAACTATGGAGTTCCTCCTCTAATGCTTCTTATAGTCATAGATTCATCTCATGACTTTTATAATGTTGTAAGAAATTGTTGGCTTCTAATAGTTTTCTTTGTTGGTTCTTGTTTTACTTCCTATGATGCTTTAAATAGTCGTAGTTACACTGATAACAATTTTCTTCCCCATTTTAAGTATCTTCTGGTTTCCTTTTATCCACTAGAAGTCATTTCCTTCGTAAGAAATCACTTTGTCAACATATTTCCTACAAACCTCATTTACTTGCAGTATTCTCTAGTAAATAGAGTTGGTTTTTAAGGCTTTTATAGAAACTTTTAATTAAGTGCTCTAATCTATTTTGTGAATGATGAATATTTGTCAAAAATTATTTAAACAAAATTACAAATGATGCTTATGTCATAGTTACTATGATGTGTCTTATGATTGCCATAAATATATTATATTGTTAGTGGATTTATTTATATTTTTTTATAATTATATCCCAAGTTTTTTTTTTGTATGTACGTAAAATTAATGTGTTTGCTCCTTTTTTTTAATTACAAAACCAAGATGTGACATAAGCCTTTAAAAAGGTTGTTGCTGCATATGAGTACTCTAAATTGTAAAATTGTGGAATGGAAGAAGTTGGGCGGTGTAACAGGAGTGGGAAGAAAAACCATAGAAGAAATCATTGTGATTAGGTCAAATAAATCTCAATTAATTATCTTTCTATTATCTTTATATGGAAAGTAGAAAACTAAAAAAATCCAAAAAAATCAACCTATATCGGTAAGTACGCATCATGTAAAGCACACAACTTCTCTCATCTGAGGCTTCCGCCACAATTAGAACACCTAAGGTCGCACATCATATAACCTCGAGGCATATGCCTCAACCGATATTTAAAACCACAGTGGTATGCATGATGTTACTTATTACAACATATAATTTACACTAGAAATGAAGTGTTGAAGTTATTTTGGGAATGCGCATCTTGAACTGATGTTTTTTCTCTCATGTCTTTTCTTTTGACTCCTGACTGTTGAAGTTTTCCAAGCGTTAATCTCAACGTCATCAACGGTTTTAGTAGGCGTCCAATCTCGGAGTTTATGTGATGTGATGCGTTATGTTCTGCCCAAAATTAGTAGAACTGTGAATTTGATATGTGCAACCAAAGTATCTGCTTCAAAAATGCCCAATATTTATTCAATTAATCAAATTTATAAGGATAAAAACATAACTCTTATCAAGATTTTTATGAAAAATATGGTATAACTGCAAAAACACTTTTTTCACACTCAACCAATCTTGATGCATCGTATTTTGCTGGCACCTGTCAATAATTAAACCCATAATCCATCAATTGAAATAAGAAATTGAAAGATAAAAAAAATAAAAAGATATAGAACATATCAACACACTTACACCTAATTGAAAAGGTCACAAGCATGATCAGAAAATCTTGGTTTTATAAAACTTAACACGTGGGAACACCAAGTGACTGTATTATTATTCAATTGCTCTTCTTTTAAAGATCTTGCTCTGAACCCACCGGTACGTTTTGATGGCTAAGAATGTTCTTCTTTTAAAAATCTTTATAGGAAGAGCAGTTGAAGAAGATCGTCATTTGAAGTTCCTATGTGTAAATGAAATGTTAAGATGTATAAAACCAAGATTTCTAATTTGTCCCCTTTTCAACTAGGTGTGTAATTGTGTTGATGTATTTTATATCTTTTTATTTCTCAACTTTTTATTATAATTGATGGATTATGGGTTTAATTGGTGACATGTATGTGCAGTGAAATATGATACATTAAGATCGGTTAACTGTGTGAATGATGTTTTTTTTTGCTGCTATATCCAGTTCTTAATGAAAAATTTTGTAGGTGTTATATTTTTATCCTTATAAATTTGATTATTTGAAGAAATAGTAGATAAAGTTAACCCTTACAGCATTTTGGGCGCCTATGCTTTGGTTGCACATATCAAATTCACGGTTCTACTAATGTAGAGTGCATCACATTGTATAAATTGTAGGATTTGCAGCCTACTAAAACCGTTGATGAACCTGCGATTAACGCATGGAAATCTAGCTTCGGTTGTCAAGAGCCAAAAGAAAAGACAATATAGAAAAGATATTAGTAACAGTTGCGCATTCATAAAATAACTTCAACACTTTGTTTCTAATGTAAATTATATGTTGCAATAAGTAGCACCATGCATCCACCATGGTTTTAAAAATTAGTTGAAGCATATGCTTTAATTGCAATAGAAGCCTCGAGGCGGTAGGAAAATGTATGTGAGGCGGCGCCTCAATTGTTCTAATTGCGACGGAAGCTTTAGATGAGAGAGGGGTGCGTTTTAGTTGAGGCGTGCTCACTTGATTTTTTGAAATTTTTAGCTTTGTATTTTCTAGATAGAGATAATAAAAAGATAAATATTTGAGATTTAAGATTTATATGGCTTAATCACAATGATTTCTTCTATGGTTCTTCTTCCCGCTCCTGTTAAACCACCACAAAGCTTATTCCCTTCAACAATTTTACATTGTTATGCAACAACCTTTTAAAAGGCTTCTGTCACATCTTGGTTCTGTAGTAGCAAAAAGAACAAACATATGAATTTTTTGTACATACAAGAGAAAACTTGGCATATAATTATCAAAAAGTATAAATCCATCCAATAATCGTATAATATATTTATGGAAATCATAGGACGCATCATAGTAACTATGACGTAAGCATCACCCGAAATTTTGTTTAAATAGCTTTTGACAAATATTCATCCTTTAGAGCAAAATAGATTGAAGCACGTGATCAAAAGTTTCTACAAAAGCCTTGAAGAGCAACTTTATTTACTTGAAAATGCTGCAAGTAAATGAGGTTTGTAGGAACTATATTTACAAAATGATTTCTTACGAAGGAAATGACTTCCAGTAAGGATAGTAAGGATAACAGAAAGCCATAAGATGCTTAAAATAGGGAAGAAAATTGTTTATCTATCAATGTAACTATGACTATTTAAAACAGCCTAGGAAGTAAATTCATAACACATAAACCCAAAATTGTTTCCCTGCAATTACTTGTCTATGAGCTAAGTCTTTCTTGAAATACAACTAAGGCCATTGTAAGGGTTTTACTTCACTTATTCTTTGTTCTTATGTTAATATTTTATGGATTTTAGTTCCCCTTTTCTGCAATTTATTTTATGTCTCTATAAAGGTGTTGTCGGTTTTTATGCATTTATTATGTTTTTAAGAATTTATTATGTCTTTTCTGTTAAATTATTTATTATTTGTATGTATTTATGTGTGGTTATTTGTGTGTTGATTTGATATTAAAATTTGATTTTAATTTATTTATGATATTTTAGACCTTTGTGATAATGACATTAGGAATGAATAACCAACTTTGCCTTTAAAGAAATTTCTATTAGGACATTGTTTTATGAAAAATTTACCCAGTTATGCATATAAAATTTAGTGTTTATATGTATTTGTTGTAATTGGGTAGGTTTTTTGAAGTACAATGCTATAAAAAGATGTTTGAAAGATACAGATGAAAATACATTGTTATTCACCGAAAGCATATGACGTTATATAGTGGTTGAGGGGCGAGGTGATGGAAGCATCAATGCAATTTAGGAATCATCAATTGGTGAAAATAGTTTTTTTAACAGCCGGTTAATGGTTAAAAGTTAGTATCATCAAGTTGGTAAAATTCACAAACGTTTGGATTCGAACCCGAGATCTCCAACCTAAGATGTAGCTTGTGAAGACGGAGTGATTCCATTGTAGTAGATTAAGCTTTTGTGGCGGTGTGTGATTTCTTAATGGTTCTTGATAGCGTCATTTGGGGACAATCAACTACACAATTATACAATGATGTATAGTGGTTGAACTCTACTCCAAAAGCTTAATCTACTACAATGGAATCACTCCGTCTTCACAAACTACCCGCCCCACCCATGGTTTGATCCATATGAACACAAGAAGTATTTAATGCTAGACTTTATTACCATGTTTATTCTATTAAAAAAAACTATTCATATTTCTAAAAGTTTAAAATTCATTTCTATTTATAGAACATAATTTCTTTTAAGAAAACAAAAAAAACAAAATTTCAAATGCAACATACTTTCCCGACTATGAAACAAAACAAAGTTTCTTAAATACTAGGAGTGAGCATAGTTTGATAGCCCTTATGTTTTTCAACTAAAACCAAAAAGTGAAAAAAAAAAAAAAAAAATTGGGTGTTAACTTTTGAAAAACCAATACATCATTCTTTTTTGGTTCCGGGTTCTCATTTTATTTTTATATTCTAGGTTTTTTTATTGACAATGTTGATAAAATTTAACAAAAACGCCTAATTTCCTAAAAATATGATAAAATCGAGGCATATCATTTTAATTTTCAATAGAAACCATAAATAAATGATAATTATTTTAATTTTTAACATTTACATGAAATGACATAAATTAGGGCATTTCAATTTTCTTTTTTAAAGTTTGACAAAAATCGTAAAAATTAAAGTTGGTAACATGTACACTTGTACCTGGTATGACTACATGGAGACCATTTCATAGTTTTTGGCTATTTGACTATTTCGTTCAAAATTTCAATTCACAAACATTATACAATACTATTAGCTAATAATGTTGGATCAAATACTCGTGCTCCAATGCTGATTCCTGGAGAATATGACCAATGAGAGATCTATCTGTATTCAATCAGTGAAGATGTTTAGAGATCCATCACAGTCGGACCCATAATGTTGAATCTATAAATATAACTGCTTGTTTTATGGCTTCAGACCACGATGATACAACTTTTTCTGTTGATAGGAAGAAAATTCAAAACGATATTCATTGCAGAA